TGAGTTGGGCTTGTCTTGGCTATGTTGGGTTAGTCTGGTTGGGGCTGAAGGAAGCTATGATGCAGCTGCGTTGAACCGCGCTATGCAGAGGTGTATTTCATAGACTGAACTATGGTTCCTGCATAAAGAACTTTGTAAGACTATGTTCTGCTTGCTGAATTGAAATGTGGGCTCTGGCGTTATGTTTAGCTGAAGGCCCGGGAGAAAGGGTTAAACTCGAGATGGACTTAGATCACCAGATGAAGGCTATGAGCCACAATAACGTTGCTAAAGTATGTTGACCAGACCACACACTAGAATGTGAAGGGACGGACCGAAACGTCGTCGTCGTCCCTTCACCTTATAGTGTGTGGTCTGGTCAACTTAGATCACCAGAGCTGGGTTGGGTTCAGCTAAGCTTAACTGATCAGAACAGGGATGCCCCAAGCAAGGCTGTTTGGGCTGAAATGGGATCGACAGACCGCTGGTGGATTAATGTAATTAATAATTAACAAATGAGTTCCATTTCTGATAAATGCGGTGAAAAAAAGATTGGAACCAGAATGAAAATGCATGCCTAATATGAACACCTTAGAGATTTTGAAAAAAATCACATTGATGAAATAGTGAATAATTAATAAACCTTTTAACGCTTTGTTTAAATTATTACTTTACAATAAGTTATTATTTCCATATAGAGTTTGGAAGAGGTACGAGAATAGGACATTTCCTATCCTAGAATAGGACACAATAGGACATAGGGCTGGTATATGTGAAGGAACGGTGCCTAAAACCCTGACAGGGGAACAGAGGAACGATCCCCTGTTCATCGGGGATCGAACACTGACCTGCAACTAAGGAGGCCGACTGAATTCAATCAGTTTCTAGTATATCTTTCGACTTTAGATCCAAAGGGGGAAAGCGCCAAGCCATTACGACTACATAGCACTTAGAAGGGGTCAAGATAAGGACTTATTTTTAGTGCAGGCGATGAGTCACAATAACGTGGCTGAAGTATGTTGACCAGACCACACACTAGAAATTGAAGGGACGACGACGTTTCGGTCCGTCCTGGACCATTCTCACAATCGACTTGAGAATGGTCCAGGACGGACCGAAACGTCGTCGTCCCTTCAATTTCTAGTGTGTGGTCTGGTCAACTTGTTTTTAGTATTTTTGAGGTTAAGCGTACATGACTTGACACTTACCTGTGGTGCTCGCTCAGTCTTGGGTACATTGATCCCTCAACGCTGATTACGTAAAGCAAAACCAACAATAAAAAATAAGATTCCTTCACATAATGAAGATTTAAATAAACGAAACCAGAAAAGACCATACAATACAATGAGGGAATTCTCGACATAGTGTGTTGTCTTCCAATGTTTTTAATTGTGGTTCGCAGAGTCCGGAGACTATAGTTATCTTTTGACATGTACGAAACTTTTTTTTCTCGCTTGATGGCCCGATAACAGAGGCAAAAATTAAACTCGCATGTCATAGAATATACCTGGAGCATGCCTGGAGAGGGTTTAAGGAGTTCTTCAACTCCCTTGCTCGGCTTTGGGCCAGGCTCGTCTCAATATACATTATAATACAATTTTTATTCATGGGGAAGGAAGTGTTATATTTTAAATAATTGCTTTTACCTCCAAAATATAACAAATAACAATTATTCCCCCCCTCAGACTTTGCTCTGAACAGCTTGGGAGTTAAGCAGTTAAGAGTGCAGAGTTCAGAGAGATTCGGAGAACTCGTCTTGAAAGTGAAAGTTGCCAACATCTTATCTAGAGCTGTGACACATTGTTTCATAAGTAGACGGTCTGCAAGTACCTTCATGGCCTCTTCCCTGAGCTGTCGTCGGCAAAGGGCAAAGCAAAGCTTAGCAAGGACAAGGCTGGCAAACATGAAAGTTTGTGGGCAAACGTCGATTTAAAATAATTTTGTCATATCAGACACTATTTGGCTATTACATTCGAGTAAATTGGTATAATAATAGAAGGCCTGCTTATCCAACCAATTTCTAAACGTATATTGTATTACTATCAACAACTGCCTCTAAACTGAAAAAAAATTCTATGGCAGTGAAATATTTAACAATTTTCTTGATCACGATTATTGCCTAGCAGTGTAGTCAGTTCAGAACCGTAAATTACTGTGATTCGATTGACGTGGAAGGACGGAGACGTTTGGGCAGGTTGCATTTCACTCGATGCTTCTTTTCACCTAGCAGTAAATGGGTTTCGGGAGTAAGGCTAATATTGTAGGTGGCATTCTGAACGAGATTAGTCATTGAACTATAGAGACTTCTATAAATCTAATAGGAGTTCCTATTTCTGACAACAGTAAAATAAAATATTGTAAATGAGAATATACCACTGCACTAAACTATAATACATAATATTCTGTGGTATATTTCATTATTTCAAATCCCATCATAATGTTGTATAATCCTTTCCATTTCATTGTATAAGTGTCATGATATATTTCCCCCTCCACCAGACACGGTCCCCCGCCACCATCACACACATCCCACCAAACTCCCCCGCACATTACTTTATATAAGTCCAATAATCGATGAAAACCTCCATTTTCCCCTACTGCTTAACCCGCAACACCCTTCCCCCTACCTTTCCCCCCCTACCGTTCCCTACCTTTCCCTATTACTCTCTCCTCTTTCCTCTCGTCCCTCTCAACAACCACTCCCACCTACTCCTTCCACTATCCCTTCTCCCCCCCTCACCTACCTCTTCTATGTCCTATATCCATCCTCTCATCTCTCCTCTCCCTCTCTCTCTTCTCCTCTCTCTTCTCTCTCTCTCTCTCTCTCTCTCTCTCTCTCTCTCTCTCTCTCTCTCTCCTCCCCCCTCGATCGAAATGTTTCCCTATTTCCATATTGATGACACCCTCGGACTATCATCAATCCCCGTGATCCGATTACATTTCCAAAACTGGCCCAAGGTGGTGATAGATTTGTTTTGTTACTTTGCTAATTCTTCATTAGTAAGGAGGAGGAATGAAAACTAATGCCTATTCAGAGAAGCAGATAGATCTCATTAAACACTGAATTATATTGAGGACAAAGTCTATTCGTTATTAGGTTTCACATCAAGATCTTTTTCACAAATGTTAATCTTTCTACAGTATCTCACACACACACACACACACACACACACACACACACACACACACACACACACACACATATAATATATATTATATATATATATAATATATATATATATATATATATATATATATAAAAATTTTTTCGAGCATCTTTAAGGATTTTAAATTAATAATAAATTAAAATTGACTGGCTACTACAGTTCTGTTCAAGTCGGTTTAATGTGTAATTTGAATATTAACAACTCAACAATCACCACAAATAATCGTGTAAACAGTGTGTTTTATTTGGTAACAGGGCTGAACCGCAGAGACCGGGCCGCCTAGACTTTGATCCCCGGTACCACCTCTAGGTAACCACCTGGTATCAAGTACTACTTAAGTTGCTCTCAGTGTCATAGTCTTATAACATATTTTGTGGCTGAAGTTTCACACATGTCAGGCCGCTTATGATAATATTCTCTTCTCTTTTTCATCTCCATTCTCTAGCTTTTTAATACTATCTTTCTCTTCCGTCTTTTCTATTCCTTGTTTGTCTTTAGTTTACTTCTTGTTCGCCCCCTCTCTTTCTATCTCTCTATCTCTCTTTCTTCTCCTCTCCAGTTTTTGTTTTGCTTATCTTTCTTGTTTTACTATTGTCTTGCCTCTTACTACTGCTTTTAATACAACTACCACCATTGTTTCCATTACTACCACAACTACTAATACTTTCAGTACAACTTCTGCTAGTACTATTGCTACTGATATCACTGCTTCTAACTACTATTTCTCTTCCATTTGGCTCTCATCTTGTTCAATCTCCTTTCCTCCTCCTTTTTCACTTACTCCTTCCTCTTCTACCCTTGGTGCTTCCGGCTTCTCCGGCTCCTCCGGCTCAGCATAGCACCAAACAGCTGCTGGAGCAGAAGACCCAGCCTGGGACCCACTTGGGAGAAGTGTGTGGATGTGTTTGTTTTTCCTCACAAAATCATACAACGGGTTTAAATTCCTTCCTCTTGTTGACAATCTCCGCTCGTTGGTTTAATGCTTCCCTGGAGACTCCCTGCTTCCCGAATTCAATTTACACTTAAACCTCAGCCAGTCCTCAAATATACTTTTTTTCTCTCTCTTTTCAGCAACTTTTGTATTTTCCTTTAAGTTCAAACGAGAAATGTTTTGGTTTGCACGTTTTCTATTTTTGTCACACAATATTGGCTTTATTAGGAAGATATTAGAGATCTTAGATAATAGATTAGAATATCTCAAGATATTAGAGGTTTGTTATTGCATTATTATATATTATTATTAAGAAGTATTAAGGGGCCATGCGAATCTCATCATGGCTTAGACGGTAATGCATGTGCCTTGGGAGTCCACGGAAGCAGGTTCGATCCTATTTTACAGCCTTAATATACATATATATTTTCGCTTTATTACTGTTTCTCCCAGACGATGTGTTTGAGAATATTGACAACTTGTTGACAAAAATCGACGTTGATCCTGTTCCAACAGCGGATATACCTTGATTTCCTTTATGTCTTCAATCCATTCTTGAATAATCTTTCATGTCTTTCTCATTTTGCACCTTTTCTACAAGTCTTACGTCCATTTGTCATTTTCCTGGTCGCGTTTGTCCTCGGCGACAATGTCTGCATTGGGAATCTAAATTTTATGTCGATGTCTTTCATCTTCTCTTTTGTTGGGCTGCGTTTGTATATCTGTTCATCGATTTTGGTGTTGTTTTCTCTTCTATGTCTGTAAGTTTTGATGTGTCGTATTGACACATTTTTAACTCTTTCGGTCTTTGGTGTTCTATTTGTCTCTGTGTTTCTCTGGAAAAGTTTGTTTCTCTCTCTCTGTTAGTGTCTCTGTAGGCCTGTAAGTCTATCGTAGTGTTTATGTTGGCCTGTCTATCTCAGCATCTCTGTAGGCCTGTCTATCTCAGCATCTCTGTAGGCCTGTCTATCTCAACATTTGTGTAGGCCTGTCTGTCTATCTCAACATTTGTGTAGGCCTGTCTATTAATTTATACCTCTGTATCTGTCTCTGTCGCAGTCTGTCTGTCTGTCTCTCTGTCTCTCTCTCTCTCTCCCTCCCTCTCTCTCTCCCTTTCTCTCTCTCATTTCATTCCCCACCTTACACATTCCCCACGACATGTCTACCCCATCCCAACCCCACCCAGCGTTCCTCCATCCCACCCCTCCCCCATTCCACCCCTCCCCCATCCCACCCCTCCCCCATCCCACCCCTCCCCCATCCCACCCATCCCCCAATCTCCATCCCCCCACCCAGTCGCCGCCTCCTGCAGCATCAATACTCACATCCTTGTGCCACACCACGTCTCTGGCCGGAGGATTGCAGGAGATTTCACACTCGAAGTAAACATCGACGCCTTCAGTGATGGGTCGATCTCCCAAGTTGGCCCCAAGTCTGAGCTTCACCCGTGGCGCGTCTGCGGGTGACGAGACTAGAATCAGCGCAATAACATGGGAACATAAAGGAAATGAGAGGAGAGGAAGAGGGAAATCGAGTAATAATATGAGGCTGTAAATAAGGAAGAAGGAGGAGGCAGAGTAACAGAGAAAATGCAATTAATTGGGTTTTTTTCAGTTTGTGTGTTCACACAAGGTGTGATGATGTCGACTTTTGGAGAACGGAAGAGAGGAAAAACTACGAGAAAACAGTGGAAAAAAGAGGGCACACAGAAAAGAAAAAATGGGTATGAGACGAATAAAGCGAAGATGTATAGTCATAAAAGAAAATGAGAGCGCAGTAAAAAGAGGGCAACAAGGAATATGAAAAGGAGAAAGGAGAGCAAGAAAATGAGGAAAAAGAAACGAAAATGCGAAAAAGGGGCAAAAAAAATTCACAAAAATTAAAATATTAAGCACTACAGAACCTTATTATAAGCCTATGGACATATTGCCCAATTAAATGTCAGTTACCCTATTCCAAACGGCATTAAATTTTCCTGTTTTCTTTCTAGCACTAAACAGTAATGTCCTGTTACTCACCTATCAACAGGATACACTAACAGGAGCATAACACTACTAACTACTATATTATACATCACTGTTAAATAATTACTATCCTCTCTTAACAGTTATTTACAAAGTAGACAAAGTTATTTATAGTAACTATATTCTGATTTATATAGTAACGATAAAATGATTTATATACTACCTATATTCATATATATATAGAAACTATAATTTTATTTTATTTGTATTTAATTTTTACATGTAATTTTTTAATTAATTTAAAATGGTAAAATGTGTGTAAATGTTTAACATTTTATAAGTAAATTTATTTAATTGCGAATATATTTAAAATGCTAAATTTTGCATGGAAATTTTGTGTAATGTTTAAATGTTTAAATTTGTAATTAAAAAAATACAAAATATTTAAATATTTACATTCTTAAAGGTTGAAATTTGTTAAATATTTCTGTCGCTCCTATGACTGAAAAGTTTGCCATTATGGTTAGAAAAAAAATTCCGTTCTTGTCCCCCAGCTGGTGAACTAGCTGGCGCGATATTTGCAATCTTGCTAGCCGCGATATTTCTAGGATCGTTGAGCACGATATTGGTCGGCTTATTGTACGCGATATTACCGTAATATCGGCTAATAGTAACTGTAATATTAGTAATAGTAATAATATCTGCATCAATCAATTGGTTTCCATCTCGTAATTCTCATAATTAGACAAACGTTCATATTTAAATGCTTTTTGCCTAGCCATAAGCGTACCGAGACAAGCCCTTCATAATCTATCAAGACACTGCAGAAACGTCGGTTTTAGAGTGCTGTTAATCTCCCCAAATCTCTGTCATTTTGGCGAGAGTTGTTTGTTAATTTAATCCAAATAAATGCAAATCCGATAGATGAAATTTGCAAGCATTATGATCTGGTTATCGCCGCCATTAGCAGCAAAACACATTGGAGGCATACAGAGTAGCGGGAATTGGCGAATAAGTTGATTATCATATTTATGGGGAGTTGAGGCAGCCCAGTGCTGCCGGGAGTGACTGTTGCTGAAGTTGCAGTTGCAACCTCTGTTGATGGGTTGATGTGCATGAGTTGATGTCGAGGCTTTGCGGTTATTGGGTGGAATATTTGATGAGAGATTGTTGTTGATAAGATGTTGTTGGGTTACTGTTGATGTTTGGGTTATAAGCTAACCTTGCTGTGTACGGTACACAGATTTGCATCGATGCTCATTTTAAAATCATGTGGGATGAGGAACGAAGAAAGGTTGAAATACCTGGACCTTCACACAGCAAGATTACGAAATAAATACGATAGGGGATATAGCATACGGTAAATATGGCAGAGGAAAAGTAGGTTAGAGGCTACATTAGATAGACCACAGTTAGAAAGGTGGGTTCCACACACACACACACACACACACACACACACACACACACACACACACACACACACACACACACACACACACACACACACTTGCTCAATGACGAGCACTTAATGAGTCTAACCTTACAGCACTAAAACTATAATACCAGAAGAGGTTTGACCCCCACATATCAGAATGATCATATGTGCAAAGTGAGCAAGACCAAATTGACAGAAAGAGCGAGAGAGAGAGAGACAGAGACAGACAGAGTGAAGACAAACGATACTTACATGTGACCTGTAGGACCGTGGACGTATATATATCCTGGCCAGGGATGTTGGGGTTTCTAGCCCTGCAGATGAACTTAGCACCGTGATCGCTCGCTTCAGGTATCAGGTTCAAGTGTGAAGAGGTTGTGTCTCCGACCACTAGCGACTGTTACAGGATAAACCACACTTGCAATATTTGTACTGTATGAGGGGGAAATTCACGGCAAAAACAAGTCTCTGGTCAAATACATAGGCATAATGCATTATCTTTGCACTGCCTGTCTGCAAGATAATGCAGGTAGACTCATCAATGTAAATCACAATTAAATGCTATTAATAGATTATTCTAATGGGTATGGATATAAGAAATCAGGTCAAATGAATCAATCATTTTCTAAGTGAACGCTTGATCAAGCAGAGCAAAAAAGTTAACATGTATATTGGCTGTTATAAAAAAAATATGTATTTGCTTCCATCATTTCCATAAAAAAATACAAAAGGGCAAACGTAGAGTGTGTATTTTTTATACAATTTTAATTTAAAATCTCGGATGGTAATGTTTCACTAAACAAATATGAGAAAATACAATTGTTATAAGTTCATATGTTTGACAATACGTATTTAAAATTTGGAAAAAAAATCAAATATTCCATCAAAAACTAAAGTATCGTCCTCTGAATACAGAAATTCCATTTTTTTACTCCAAAATCGCTTTGGGATACACTAAAATAAACACCAATATTTTACCCCATCAATACTGCACATTGTGTATTTGTAGGTAGTGGAGAGAAGGGGGGAAGTGTTTTAGGCTGTGAGTGTATGTGTTTAAAAGTGCGAGTGTGTATAAATTTGTGTGTCTGTGCACTTGCAAATGTACGCATACATACGGACGTGCGCAAGTGCATGCAGAATAACGTATATAAGTGTGTGCATGTTTGGGTTACAGCAGAGTGGAAAATGCTTAGTTGAGGAAACATTATTTAGATTTAGCCTTGGGCAAGAAGACAGTAATAACATATGTCACCTTCACAGACCACTTTATTGCGCACTAAAAGCAATTTAACCACGAAAAACACAAGAGTCCATTACCTTAGGAACATCACTGTCCTACATGCTCTTTCCCCGTGCCATAACAAACACAACATTCACTCCCATCGACCCCAAACAAATACATCCAGCATGTTGTCCTGCCGCGAACCAAAAAAATAATATTCTTTCATTGCCCTCATAAACACAAAATGCATCATTCCGTGTCCATAAGACACACATGTCATGCTTTAACGCAATGTACTCGTGCTGTGTCTTGGCAAATATACAACCCGTTCTCGCAAATTCGTATAATCAATATTGACTTATTAACTACGTGCATAGGTGATATACTAACCATAATAGATACCCTTAAAAAGCTTCATAGAAAACACCGACCTTACCTAACCTTGTTAGTATGTTAAGATAAGCATCTTATTGCTTCGTATCTATTATGGTTAGTATATCACCTATGCACGTAGTTAATAAGTCAATATTGACTATACGAATTTGCGAGAACGGGTTGAAATATAGCCATGGAATGTCCTAAAATATTCTGCTCGCATTCTCAACATGTTCTAACGATCACGCCTGAACTCATATCTTGTTCTCTCACAGCCTGAGAAAACAAACAAGCATTCTCACCTTGACCTTACAAACACAACAAGAATTCTCACCATTCCTTGTCTTGAAAAATACAGCAAGAACTCTCATCTTGTTCAAACAAATACAGCACGAATTCTCACCGTGCCACAACCGGCGCTCTCATTCTCAACGATTCTGAACGGCAAAATCACCAAACTTCTTAAAAAGCACAACACACACACACACACACACACACACACACACACACACACACCTGACACGGGCCATACTTTAATATATATGCATGTAAAATATGATACGTATACTTATCACCTACTTTACTGAGATATAAGAGCAAAGAAGTCTGTGTAATCCTTTCTGGCTTTGGCTTTTCGATACCATTAGTGTTGATGAGTTGCAATGGGTCCAAATCCTTACAAATATGAGATATTTTGTGGATTAAGTCCCTCCCCTGAGCACAAAACATAGTGTGTGTCCTCAAATAAAACTCGGTATCATGCTTAGCCTGTCACTGTAAAAAAAAAAAAGCTTATTTATACAACTTCGTTTTACAGGGATTTCAACCAGCGATAAGAGTAATCGTGTTGTTTTCAAAATGAACAAAAATCTTCATTCGCAGGACTGATGTAACAAAATGTAACTTCTCTTGAATTAGATAAAAAAATCTCAAATATATATTAAGGAATTCTCTCGTGTTTGCTGAAGATTTGAACTACCGCTTTTAAAGCACAAACATATACGTAATAAGTTGACCAGACCACATACTAGAAGTTGAAGGGACGACGACGTTTCGGTCCGTCCTGGACCATTCTCAAGTCACGATCGACTTGAGAATGGTCCAGGACGGACCGAAACGTCGTCGTCCCTTCTATTTCTAGTGTGTGGTCTGGTCAACATACTTCAGCCACGTTATTGTGATTCATCGCCTGCATATACGTAATAGACATGACCTTTCAAAGCCTTGCATACGAACAGTTTCAAGAACACTCAGGTGTTCAACACGACTGCCTTACCGAAGCTTCGAGGGTGACAGCCTTGCCGGCTTGTGTCTTCTCCCAAGAGATGTCCGCGGAGGGATAGGCACCGGATGCAACACAGACTAGCCGCGTAGGTCGGCCCTCCACCAGCAGCTTCTCCGGAGGCTTCACCACCACCGACAACGGCCGCACTGCACCGGGAGACGAAGGAGGGGAGATGAGAGCGAGGGAGATGAGAGGGAGGGAGATGAGAGTGAGTGAGGTGAGGAGGAAGGGAGATAAGTCTTAGCCCTAATATTCACAACTCCCACGTTGATACTGTGGCTCAGAGACAGATGATAGCGATCTGGTGGTGCGGCTTATACACAGTTGACTAACAGAGATGGAGTCGCCTCGTCTCTCTCTCTCTCTCTCTCTCTCTCTCTCTCTCTCTCTCTCTCTCTCTCTCTCTCGCTCTCGCTCTCGCTCTCTCTCTCGCGTTTGATCAGTTCCCACTATCAAACCCCATGCCAACTCACTCTGAGGCTCAGCATCTCTACGTTACAGCGGATTTAGCTCATCCCCAACTTGTACAGGCAATCACAGCTCGACCGCGCGAGGCATAAAGTCAGGGTTTACATATATATATATATATATATATATATATATATATATATATATATATATATATATATATATATATATATATATATATATATATATATATATATATATATATATATATATATATATATATATATATATATATATATATATACATATATATATATATATATATATATATATATATATATATTATATATATATATATATATATATATATATATATATATATATATATATATATATATATATATATATATATATATATATATATATATACATATATATATATATATATATATATATATATATATATATATATAATATATATATATATATATATATATATATATATATATATATATATATATATATATATATACATACTCTGGAGAGCATTATTTCACGCTGTATACTGAAAGTTAGTATGAAGTTCCAATATATTTATTTGGCTCCGGTGAGAATCTTCCTATATCTCTTCACACTGGCTTCTCACGAGGTCCCTCTCACCCTGATCTCTTATAAGGTACCCTTCACCCTAACTAGATAAAAGTCGCCCACACTATTTAAATAACGCTCGCTATAACTGCATTTAAGGTCCCTCACTCTAGTTCCTTGCATTGACCCCTTAACTCTAACTCAATTCAAAATCTTCCCAACGATCACTACTGACCCTAACTTTTTATTAAACCACCCCATTTCTTACTCATTGTTAGGCTACCCTCCCCCCTCTCTTCCTTCCTTCCTCTCTCCCTCGATCTTTCTCCCTATAATGCCATACCTATTTACCTTAACTCCATATGATTTTACTTACCCAAACTCCTTTAAGTGTCTCCCTCACCCTAACACCTGATAATCTCACCCTTTTCAGTCTTATTCCTTACAATGTCTCTTTCATTCAAACCTTTTATAACCCTCACCCCTTCACCCTAACTCTTACAAATTCTCTCACCCTAACTCCTTATAGTCTGGTCCCCTTCATTCTAACTCCTTCCAAGGTCACCCTCCCTCCAATTCGTAATAAGGGTGACCATTGCCCCTCGTTCGAACATAACCTCGATTTAAGAACACGCATATTGTACAGATTTTTTCTAACAATCTTTCCAGCTTCTCTCATCTACTTCTTTCACCAAAAAAAAAAATAGTGTTTCTCTCCAACTCATCCAACTTCCATTTCCCCTCTTCTCCCTAAAATATATTATCCCAGATTAACCCGCTTAATTATTTACCGGTTATTTTCCCATCTCTCATATTCTCACTGTCTCTCCTCCGTTTCTCTCATATTCTTCGTGCGTCCCTTTTCTCCTATATATCTCTCTCTCTCATTTCTCCCCTCTGCTTAGCTTCATCACCATATTCATATAGACCCTTCCTGAATCTGCATTAATTTCTCATCCACGCATTCATCCGTCCTGCTCACGTGCAATGATTTAGAGTGAGTTATAATATGGTGAGAGAGACTGTAACTAGGGGGAGAATCAGGGGAGGAATGTGGATATAGTGAGAAGGAAGAGAAGGAAGAGGAGGAGGAGAGATTGAATTGGGAAAAAATCGTGATAAAAGATGATGATGGAAAGGTTTAGAGAGAGAGAGAGTACTTACAATACACATCGAGAGATATAGTGGTTGAGAGGGCCTCGGTGATGTTATTGTTGGAAGCTTTACAGGTAAGATTGGCTCGGGCATAGTCCCTAGTGAGGGCGGGGATGGTGAGCTCCGTCCTCACGTGCATGGCGCCCACGCCCACGCTCATCAACCGCCCTCCGCCCACCACGTCCTGAGACGACAATAGCGCACCATCAGCATCCAACACGCGACTCCGGTTGGCGAGAAGTTGGGAGCCTCTCCACCAGGTTACACTTGGTGATGGCCGGCCTAAGGAAAAAGAATCCTGGTGATGAGGTTTGAAGGAAGATGGGAAAGGGGTTAAGGTTATCATTTTCTTATTATTAATATCTTAAGTCACATTGTCTCTCGTTTACAAAAGAATATATATATAATTTTGCTTCAAAAAGTTATTTACATATGCCTTTTATTTCTCACAATGATAGTAATAGTGACATAGTATTTTTTCGTTATTTATATCCCATGGTTACCATACTACGTTCAGTTATAAATGTACTATATTTAAACTTGAGCAATCGTATTGTATTTGTAAATAATAAACTGTAATATTTGTGTCAGAACGCTAACTAATACTAGCAATTATTGACTATATTTTTTTGTTTACGGTATTCGGAGTTTTTTTTCCACCTCTGAGAATACTGAGGTGAAATCTTAGTGAAAATTGTGTCACTGCCACAGTGAGTGTGTGAATGAATGAATGAACTATCAGGAGAAATCGCCAAGCCATGACTATATAGCACTTGGAAGGGATCAGGATAAAAGGATTCGGAAAGGGATTGGGAAAAGGAATGGTGCCCAACCACACGTGGACGGTCTAGAACGCCGCCGATCTGCATGAAGCGAGACCGTGACTCTACCGTCCAGTCCCAAGTGGTTGGGCAGTGTGAGCAGCTAGTGGTTGGGCAGTGTGAGCAGCAAGTGGTTGGGCAGTGTGAGCAGCAAGTGGTTGGGCAGTGTGAGCAGCTAGTACATACCTCCTGAAGCGACACAATAGAGGATAAGACTATCACCCTCAGTGAGAGGACCCAGGAGGCCGGCGGGCACTGCTCTGCTGTTTTCGTCCTTTACAACCAGTCTTGATGGCACCACTGATATGGAACACAAGCCAAACAAAAGTAAATATTAATTTAAATCGTGTTTGACGAGATAGGGACTCGGTGCTGAAGCTGCATACTCCAGGACTGGTCTGACATACGTGGTATACAAGTTTTCTTAATGATTCCTTACACAAGTTAACCCATAAATAATGGGTTCTTATGTTAAGAAAGAGAACCCGTAAACAAAAAAATTAAAACTAAAAAATGAAGAGCAGGAATATGAATTAAAAAGAAGACAATAAATAAGAAAGTAACAAAGAAGACAACTAACACAAACAACCAAAATCAGGCAGAAGTGAAATAAGAAAATAGGAAAAAAAATGAAAGAGAAAGGAGCTAGACAGAAAACCCAAACAAAATCGCAGGATGTCAGGAGTGAAGAAGATGAAAGTCAAACAGGCTGCCAGAGAGGCTTTATCGGCTAGTTGTGTTCAGTAAACACACGCCAGCTTTGAAGACTGACTGGGAGCAGCGGCTAATCCTGCCAGGTTTAGTATGTTGCGTATAAGATGTCGATGGACCGAGGGATGTCGATAGTCTTGGAGGATGGCAGTGTTGATGGACCGAAGGATGTCGATAGTCTTGGAGAATGGCAATGTCGATGGACCGAGGGATGTCGATAGTCTTAGAGAATGGTTGTGTCGATGGACCGAGGGGTGTCGATAGACTTGGAGAATGGCTCTGTCGATGGACCGAGGGATGTCGATAGTCTTAGAGAATGGCTGTGTCGATGGACCGAGGGGTGTCGATAGACTTGGAGAATGGCAATGTCGATGGACCGAGGGATGTCGATAGTCTTGGAGGATATCATGTGTCGATTATCGGGAGATTTTCGATGATGTGAACAATGTAGACTATAAACTGTAGTCTACATTGACTACAACGAAACTACATCACTTGTAGAGAGAGAGAATAAATAAGGCTATGTTACTAGTAAAGATAGTAGCTAGGGCTACACCACTGGTTGAAAAAAGTAGATATGGTTATATCATTGGTAGAGAGAGAAACTAAGGCTCCATCACTGGTAGATGATGTAGTTAATACTAACCATCAGTAAATCTTACAAAAAAACAAATTAAGCCAGATTTGTAAATAAAGGAATAATTATATAAACATTACATGGGATAAATAGAACTAAAGTCACACACATATTGACAACGGGAACTTTGGAAAACTTATTGTATATGTACGAAGATTACAGGAAGAAAAATAAGACAGGGAACAGATAGTCAATATCTACGACGTTCCGTTCCGGTGACAAAGCTTTGGAGCAACGTCAGCTAATTTACCGTTCATTATGATGTTGGTCGTGGTAGACAACGTCAGCTTACTTACCGTACATGTCGCTAACAAGGGGCAGCTAACGTTCATCATATTGTTAGCCAAACGTCAGATAACTTAAATATAACATTGTGATGCTGAGGACTGAAAACATCATCCTACTGTTCCCCATTGAGGTTGACACTGGCAGGGAACACTTATTAACTCACCATATACGGTAAGATTGACGAGAGCAGATAGCGTTGGTCCATCCTGGAAGTCGACTCGACATTTGTACCTGCCGGCGTCTGACCCCTGCAGCGGGTCAAAGGTCAAGTAGCTGCCAGTGAGCTCTGACCTCACACGACCTTTAATCTCTGGGTCAGCGTAGACCTCCTTGTCTCCGTTCTCTCGCAGGTCCAGTCTATAGGAAGAGAATGGGGAAGTTGGTCTAGTAAAGTAGTTCATTTTGAGGGAAGGGGGATTTATGAGGAGAAAGCGCCAAGCCATTACGATTATATGGCACTTGGAACGGGTCAGGATAAGGATTTGGGATGGGACGGGGGGAAGGAATGGTGCCCAACCGCTTGTGGACGGTCGGGGATTAAACGCCGACCTGCGTGAAGCGAGGCCGTCGCTCTACCGCCTAGCCCAAGTGGAACAGAATATATTCCATTCATTAGAATGAAGGTGAATGGAAAGTTTACTGTGTTACCTTGAAGTTGAAATTGCTAATTTAGAAGTTAGCAGTATGTTGATCATTCTAACTGTGTAAATCTGGGAGAGAATGCGAAGTTGATTTGGCAACATATTTGGCATTCGCAACCATTGGGACTGAATGATTATTATAGCAATTATATATGATAATAAAGAATGACTATTTCACTAGTTAACACATTTTTTTTATTTTGTCACACTAGCATTTATGATGCTTTTTACATAATGTTTTACACTGAATTCAAACCTGCAATCATAATTTTTCTATCACCCACAATTTTTGTGACAATTTTTGGTAATTACTCGGCTGCTGAATTTATAGGAATTTTATCAATAGTTGTATAAAATAGAGTTTTTCTTTCAATCACCGTTTAGTGGATTTTACATCCAAAGGAATTAGGGACAATCTGCAGAGAGGGTCATTAGGTGGATGGTGTAGAAAATCAGCCAGAGTGAGGAGTGATTGGTATAAGCGACCAACCACAGTGTGTTATGCGTTGCAGATAGACGTATCACACCTTGACCCATACTGCTGTCCCGTCTATTTCTCGTCCAGTGCTTTGTTGACCTCTTCAGTTATAAACACTGCCAGTGCTGCTGTTTTATAAGTGATCAGCCTCAGTAGGATTATGCCAAGGAAGTGATTAAACCATCCTGACACTCTTTTGCTACGTGCGTAGTCAAGTGACGTTTACAGGTCAAAGGTGAAACATAACGCCAATAATTACAAAGTGTTACCACTTGTATTTTTGTTGTAAAGTGTCGAGGATAAGAGTTTTGCACCTCTTTCGTTAATCTTCTCGTGAGATTGGTAAAAGGTTCTCGGCATATACCTTTTGCAGTTCCCATGATTTGGAAGGAATCAAGAGAACTTTCCTTGGATTGTTATTTCTGGTTGACAAATACAACAGGAATCACAGGTAAAGCCAAGCAATACCCTAAAATACCTCAATCAATCTTCTGCTGTAAGATCTGTCCTCACGCTGAAGATTTTGCCACCTCGAGAAAATCCACTTGGGCAGTGAGGAGGGCACGAACCTTTAACCTTGACTTTGCCAGTCGCAAACTCTACCACTGTGCCAGTGTCACAAACTCGGACACTGATGACACTGACCGAGAACAAGAGGACAGCGTACATCATCATCCACATTTTGAAGGAAGAACCTCTTTAGATGAGCCTCGTTTACTAACTCGACCAGACCTTTGATGATTTCGAACGTGATGTTCAATCTGTCAAAATCGCAGGAGGAACTTTCTCGGATGCAGGTTAAAAAGCTGGAATCTTCTTAATCTTGACACTAATGTTATTTCGTGTACCGTCTTAAGGAGTTTAATTTATTTTTTGCCAGAAGGAAATAGATTATTTTTGTTATCGATGTCTGCTCCGCAATGGAAGCATTTGGTCATGAGTATGAAACGAATGAGTGGCATTTGTTCAATGATTCTTCTCAGGTAATCTTAAAAGGTGTAACATGAAAGACTCGGATGAAAATATGGAAACTACTTTATATATATATATATATATATAATAATATATATATATAAATATATATATATATATATATATATATATATATATATATATATATATATATATATATATATATATATATATATATATATATATATTCGACAACGACAACTCGACAACTCGACACAAACTCGACCACTTATGATAATCATCTTTTTACCCTTTGTACAAAGTTCAAATAAAACAAATATATATGTGTACATATAAAAGAATGGGGGTGGTAGGAGAAGATAATATTAATGTTCAGTGAGAAACCACAAAGTCTTCTCTGAATAGTTTTTATTTTCTTCTCCGAGGCTATGGGTCCCCACATTGGCACCAGTGGTGGTACCCTCACGAACTTATATATATATATATATATATATATATATATATATATATATATATATATATATATATATATATATATATATATATATATATACAATTTTTCTTTATTCTAACGAGCTGCGACACCCCAGCTTCAACGCCAGTACTCCACGTGACGCCTTCTCATGGCTCTCGTTCGAGGACTCCTCCGGCCCCGTATTCATCACCCTCCCCCCCCCCCCCACCCACCACCCCCACTCCTGGTTTGATCGATTGATGAGCACATCATCCACAGAGCCCCGCCCACGGCTCAGATTTGATCAACTAAAAGAGCTTTGTCTTCCTTACCAACTATATTATTATTATTATTGAGAAAATCAGTAGAAGCCATCAATAGGATTCGAACGTGCTCACTTTGTATTCCTTAGCATGAGTTTTGAGCACTGCAGAAGAGGGTCTGAAATATTCCCTCTGCGTTTCCTAGTAATTTCAAAATACTGGATTATTATTATTATTATTATTATATATATATATATATATATATATATATATATATATATATATATATATATATATATATATATATATATATATATTCAGAAAAGATTATTCAGTCTGTAAAGGCTCGGCTCTATTATTCCATCATATAGAATGGGGAAATCTATTTTCCTAATACTTATTTCATTCTTTTCTTCTAGTTTAAATTTAAACCTTCTTGAATGTTTAATTCCTTCTCGCGAGTTTGGATCTACCCGGGACGAACCGAACGAGACCATTTGACCATAATTCTCAATTCCTGAACCAGATAACGAAAAATAATGAATATGGATGATACTTGTTATGGAAAACGCTACTGATGCATTATAGCGAGGAAGAATATGTGTAAAATTACACATACCAATTTTTTTTAGGTAAAAAGATGAGTTATGATAGCAGGCGGACTGACCGCTTTGCTGACACGCTGTGTGTGAGTGTGTGTGAGTGTGTGTGAGTGTGTGTGAGTGTGTTGGCAGCTAAGCTAAACTGCTCGCCTTTGTGAGGGCACTGCGAGTGTGTGTGTGTGTGGTTCTTCACATTGGAATATTTTATTTGTTCGCCAAATAAATACTGAATTGTCAAAACATTTGAGCTCCCATTTGTTTCATATCTCAAAAGGCCTGAGATATATATATATATATATATATATATATATATATATATATATATATATATATATATATATATATATATATATATGTCGTACCTAGTAGCCAGAACGCACTTCTCTGCCTACTATGCAAGGCCGGATTTGCCTAATAAGCCAAGTTTTCATGAATTAATTATTTTTCGACTACCCCTACCTAACCTAACCTAACCTAACTTTTTCGGCTACCTATTCTAACCTAACCTATTAAGATAGGTTAGGTTAGGTTAGGTAGGGTTGGTTAGGTTCGGTCATATATCTACGTTAATTTTAACTCCAATAAAAAAATTGAACTCATACGTAATGAAATGGGTAGCTTTATCATTTCATAAGAAAAAAATTTGAGAAAATATATTAATTCAGAAAAACTTGGCTTATTAGGCAAATTGGGCCTTGCATAGTAGGCCAAGAAGTGCGTTCTGGCTACTAGGTACGACATATATATATATATATATATATATATATATATATATATATATATATATATATATATATATATATATATATATATATATATATTGACAAGCAATAAGATCTTGCAGGCTTTATAGTTTTTTCTTAATTCACCTTTGTTATCCATAATTTGTAGAAAACTGTTAACTCCAGCTAACCTCTGGCCAGAGCTGCAGCCAAAACCTAGCCTCCAAAGGCACCACACACAGATGCCAGCTGAGACAGGTGTTCAGAAGGTCAGATCAACAGTCGTATCTTCAAACAATTAAATAACGTCAATTGAAACAAGTCAAACAATTGATAAACATCAATTCTTGTAATTCTGACGAGTGATTAACGTTAAATGTTGAAACCCAAATAACAATCACCGGTACATTTCAAACTATTGATTACTATAGCAACAGTAACTACAGACTAACACAAACCAAACAATTACTCGGTTAATTAGCAAACAAACTTTATTTTGGGCGCTCGTGGATGCGAGCAATACTCATTATTACTACTAAAGTCGACGTTCTTTTGTTTTAATGACGTCATTCCTCAGTAACCAATAAGGTCCTTCCTACAGCATGACGTCACACAGACACCAGGGGTCTCCCCCCGCTATCACTGCATATTCGTGCAACAGAATCATAATACTGGAAATTGATGGTCTCTTGTTCCCTTGTATTCTTTGTCCGAGGGGAAGAATGGAGGAGGTGTGTAACTTATGGCCACACTAAGAACGTCTTGAGGTTGGAATAAGAGGTGTAGTTAAGCTGCTGGATGGATACACCAATAGGAAGGCTTAAAGAGTAGGTAGAAGTTGGAGGATTGGTAGAGTGGTTAGATATGGAGCCGGATAGAGTGGTTAGATGTTGGACCGGGTAGGTTATCTTGAGGTTATCTTGAGATGATTTCGGGGCTTTTAAGGGTCCCCGCGGCCCGGTCCTCGACCAGGCCTCCACCCCCAGGAAGCAGCCCGTGACAGTTGACTAACACCCAGGTACCTATTTTACTGCTAGGTGACGGGCATAGGGTGAAAGAAACTCTGCCCAGGGTAGAGTGGTAAGGGGGCTTACCCCCTTCCCACTTATTCACTATGGGGAAGGTGAGATCTTGCTCTCAGTCCTCCTCAGCCTATTTTAGTCTTGCTGAACCTGTTGCTCTCTAAATTAACTTTCCTCATTCTCGAATTCTTTGCCGAATCTGCCTTAAAGTTGTGAATAGAGGTGGCTCTCACAACTCCTTCTTTCAGTGCGTTATACTTGGGGATCGCCTTTACAGGGCATGAGTAGTTCCATACAATTATTTTAGTAAACAACTTTCTCTGCTTCTGCCGATGCCTTCGCGTCCTACTTTCAATTTAAGGAAACTGTTGTGGTTAGCTAAAAATACAGTATTGATATATATAATATACAGACTACATATAATATACAGTCTGTTTTATTACCAGTTTATTCACTGTATCATCCACAGGTATGAGTGGATGATACTTGCTCTTGATGCCACTAGAATAGAAGTGATAGTCGTCTATTAAGAGCATGTAACTCAGGATGTTTGCATTGAATTGCATTTATCTTACCACACAAAACCCTTATCTCACCACACAAGACCCTTATCTCGCTACACAAGCCCCTTATCTCACCACACAAGCCCCTTATCTCACCACACAAGCCCCTTATGTGGGCTACACTAGTCCATTAACTTGCCACACATAATATCCAGGAGCACGCCATTAAAAGTAATATATGCCATCATTTGCAGCTCCAGGGTTACTCTTATCGCTCCATTATGTCAGTGAGAGTAGCTAATGGAGCTTCGGAAAGTGGCTTCAGGTCTGAAGCTCTCATGTCTAATGCTTGGTACCACGCCTCGTCTGGTGGGGATAACGAGTGTCCTTGTAAACAAATGAGCGGACTCGTTAGTGGCAGAGTTACTCTGATGTTTCATTAAGAACTAGCCATTAAGGCTTTATGTAAACATTTCCAGCCTGTGTAACTCGTTGCCGTGACAACCACAAACAACATGAAGGCTTTAGCAAATCTATTTAATGTTTATACTTAGGAATAATAGTTTTATTTCAATCTGAATGTTTATATTTATGTACGTTTAAATCCATATAACAGAATGTTTGTTCAATATATAAGACCAAACGCTTGGTGCTAGCCTCATTTAAATTTTCACAGTGACTACAGGGGGGTAGGTGACATTCATGGGCGGGTTGAGGTTAGCCTTATTGAGACCACTGAAATGAGGTCGGCTCGCAGGGAGACCCCAACGAAATCAGTGAAAGTAAATAATACATTATATAATATTTACATATTGTAGAGAGCGACCTCAGGAACTTTGAACTTAAAACATGTAACATTTAGGGGTAAATCCGGGCACCCCTGGATACTTCACTCCTAATTCCTTCCTTTTTCTTTTACCCTCTTTCTACATCTTCCCTCCCCTTTCACTTGTTTTACCCTCTTTTTCCGACCCCTCCCCTCTACTCTTCATCTTTCTTCCTCCCTCTTCTTCTTCTTCCCTCTCATCTCCCACATTTTCACTCTTCATATCTGCCATTTTCGACATGTCTCATATCTTGCCATACAAGTCCCATATATTGCCCCATGTGTTCCTGGTCTTGCCACGTGAGTCTTTAATCTTGCCATTGAAATCCTATAATTTACCAAACAAATCTATTCACCCCCTTCAAAAATATCTCATCACGCAGTGTATGTCCCTTATCTCACTACAAAAGTATATTATTTCACTTTCACAAGTTACTAATCTTTCAACGCTGGCTTCGTTATCTTGTCTCACTTGCTGCCAGATTGCGATTGACAGTTCATGATCATGCAACACAGGGCTCTCTTGTAGCCATCGTTGACACCAGTCTTGTTACACCTGCCTCCAGTTCATTCCAGCTTAACATGCCTCAAGTTCATTCCAGCTTAACATGCATCAAGTTCATTCCAGCTTAACATGCATCAAGTTCATTCCAGCTGCAAATGCCTCCAGTTCATTGCAGCTACACATGGCTCCAGCAACACACACACACACACACACACACACACACACACACACACACACACACACACACACACACACACACACACACACACATAGACACACAGAGGCATCCGTATAACAACATTCAAGATCATATCAATAACGTGATCCCGATTAAATCATTTTATATCCAACCTCTTTTTGCCTATCTTCTCCCGAGACAAAATTTTAAATACAAACTTATGAGGGATACATTTACCCTGTGAGTATCACGGAATATCGGGTGATTCGCTTATATAAGCTGGCTATTTCCATGCATGAATGCTAAGCTAAAGAAATTGTGTATTGCAAGTGGGTGCATTTGCAAGAGGCACTTTGAAAGCTAAAAGCTTGAGTAATAATAGAAACAATATTCAATATGCAAAACATTTTTTTTCTGGGTGAATAGACGCAGAAGATAAGTATTTACAGGAAATGTATTGTAAATATATTGGTTTAGACCGTTCAGGATTTTATTTTTTATATAAATACAATATTCAATGGTGACAAATGTGAAGAATAAATTCAGAATCATTCAGGTATATAAAACCTAATGTTGTACCCATAGTCTCAGTATATATACAGTGAGAGTATATACATCAAGACTATGTTCAGAGCTGAAGTATACTTGCTGGGTGATCATTAAGCTGTGGCTTTAATAACACTCCCACGGATGATAACCTTAAAACTCAAACCCCAGTTCGAATCCCACGCATGGTTCTTCACGAATTGATACTTTGCATATATATAACGACAATATTTTTTTCACCAGGAAATCGCACTAACGTGACATATTAACGAGAAATTCAATTGGAATAATGAGTGGGGATTCGAACCCGCGTACTCCAAGCCACCACACATCAGGGGTAAGGTGTATGGCTGGGAGTACCCAGGTCGAGAGTTCGAGTCCCCGATCTGCTCTAATTGATATAAGTAATATTATTATACTCAGGAGAATAATAAACGTCAAATGGTGGCATGACACGCTCATTGAATTAATAATCCCCGTTCGAATTCGAGAATGAATATTGAGGATCAATGATTCTGGTCTTAAAATAGGTTAACATATTTTAACAAAGGATTTCATGCTTGATATCAGCTGAAAAACGAGAATTAACGAACCTTGTTAATCATCCCACTATCCCAATTTAACTGCCGTAATCTTCCCGAGCCAAATAAAATAACATCTGAAACCGAATCATTCTAGAATTGATATATAATTACTCTCGAGCTACATTTAAAAGGATTTAAACTTAGACTATTGGAGAGAGACAAGAGAGGACTTACGTGTAGAAGGGCCGGCGAGCACCGTCCTTATACCAGAGCACCAAGATGGGTGTGTCTATGTGTTGATTCTGGATCACTACACAAGGCAGCTGTGAAGGGGCTCCAGCAACTCCCTCAACGGCGGACACCGGCCCTGGCACAGGCACAAAGAGAAAAAAGATGATTATTATCAAGAATTTTCCTAGGAAGATTATAATATTGAATATGAGTATGGCGTGAAGTCATGTGTAAACAGTTTTTAATGCAAACACTAGCATATGAGGCTATATTAACGATCATTCGGCAAATGTTGTTGTGGACGGGCTGGTATACTGGGTTCCAGCTATTATCACTTGTTACAGATCACTAGAAGATGAGCTTCATTTTGTGTAAATGGTTGAGATCCTGGTCCATGACTCTGTCAGCGTCTTAACACTACTACTTCTTTATCTCTCTCCTTTATATTCATCCCTACAAATCACAGAAGGAGTCTGGTAAAAGAGATACGATTAAATATTAGATAAATGGAACAATATCGGAGATAAGATAAATGGTGATTGTTGATCAGACCACACACTAGAAGGTGAAGGAACGACGACGTTTCGGTCCGTCCTGGACCATTCTCATGTCGATATTCAACTGAGAATGGTCCAGGATGGGACCGAAACATCCTCGTCCCTTCACCTTCTAGTGTGTGGTCTGGTCAACATACATTAGCCACGATATTGTGACTGATCGCCTGCATAAGAGAAATGGTAAAATAACCAATTGCAGGTGAGTGACGCTCGGCTCACAGCTGACCTTTTGTGACCTGATGTGAGAAAAGCTCAGATTTTCTCATCAGGCATCGAGTGTTAGATTTCCCCTCTCCCATCCCCTCGAGTAATGCCCTATAACCGGTCTAACACTTTATGTAAGGTACACAACTGAAGTAATCGGTAGTTAGCATAAGGCTCATTGCTGTGTGATATACTATTCTAAAGTCACCTAATGTAAGAACTATGCAAAGCTGTGAGAAGTTCTATTCCAGAGTGAAAATTGTTTTGATATTTTGAAAGGAAAGAATGGGAGGGTGATCAAAAGTGATGTGATAGAAAAATGTCTCAGCAACTCAGTGGGGGACGTAATTTTAAGTTAAAGTAAGTCTGACAGAGGTGTTAAAATATTCAACATTTCCACATTACATAAGAAGAACGATATTCTAGAGAGGATACGTTACTTAGAGAATAGGTCAGAGTGGGTTTGTGTGTGTGTGTGTGTGTGTGTGTGTGTGTGTGTGTGTGTGTGTGTGTGTGTGTGTGTGTGTGTGTGTGTCTGCTTTGATGTTTGGCATGACCAAGTATTAATTAACGATTGCCTGAACACAGCATCCCAGAAATGTTCTATTAAGCCAGGTATAACTATTTGGCCGGTTCGACCAGCATTCAGATTCTAGACTGTGCCTCTTCATTTCACTATGAGGCATGCGTCTTGTCACAGAAATCTTCAACAAAGTTATTTCTACAAAAAAATGACTTCTTTCTTCTCGACTTCTCGTAGAAAAAACGATTTCTACGATTCATTTTGTTAAATGCGGCGGTATTACAGAGCTAAATTTATATAGAATCTGTTCTACTTTGGGTTTAAAAGCATTAACAAAATATACATATTTATTTTAATGGAGGCAAAATGGCCAATATGCTGAGGATAAAATTTTACTTTAAGGTTCAAGGTTATTAACCTTGGAAAAAATTCTAAATCTACATTAAGGTTCTACTTTAAGGTCTTAAGGTTAATTGAAGTCTATCATGCTGTGAATTTTTCTTGGTCGTCGCTCGACAGACGTTTTGTAGAGTCTACATAGTTATAAAGTCTACACAGTTATAACGAACTACAAGCAGTGCTAACTCTATAATGTTATTCCTTTTTATCTTTCTGTACTTATCCTGTTTCTTTCCATCCGTCCGACTCTTTGTCAGTCTGTGTCTCTTCTATCTATCTATCTTCACGATCTATCGCTTTTTCTCTCTAACTGAAAACATCATTTCACAAGTATAGATAGCACCCTAAGACATCCGTTAAATCACGTAGACAATAAGCTACGATATATGGTAAAACTCCATTCAAAATAGCCTAAGATGTCGCATAAACTACATAGGAAAATAGGTATATATATATATATATATATATATATATATATATATATATATATATATATATATATATATATATATATATATATATATATGTCGTACCTAGTAGCCAGAACGCACTTCTCAGCCTACTATGCAAGGCCCAATTTGCCTAATAAGCCAAGTTTTCATGAATTAATTGTTTTTAGACTACCTAACCAACCTAACCTAACCTAACCTAACTTTTTCTGCTACCTAACCTAACCTAACCTAGGAAGATAGGTTAGGTTAGGTTAGGTAGGGTTGGTTAGGTTCGGTCATATATCTACGTTAATTTTAACTTATTTGCTTATTAGGCAAATCGGGCCTTGCATAGTAGGCTGAGAAGTGCGTTCTGGCTACTAGGTACGACATATATATATATGTATATATATATATATATATATATATATATATATATATATATATATATATATATATATATATGTGTGTGTGTGTGTATATCACGAAAATAAACACGTGATTAAGAATGTGACAATGTCAGACCACGGAGGAAAAATGAAACAGGAAATTTCCTTAAGTACTTTCGTATATTAAACCTTGACCTTCTGAAGATGTATTTAATATACGAAAGTACTTAAGGAAATTTCCTGTTTCATTTTTCCTCCGTGGTCTGACATTGTCATATATATATATATATATATATATATATATATATATATATATATATATATATATATATATATATATATATATATATATATATCAAGAACAACGAATATCCGACATAGCTAAAAAACAAAAACAAAAAAACACTGGTTTCATGTAACCCAGCTTGAAAAATCTTTGGAATCCCCGCGGCACATCTAAAGGGAGGCCGGAGCTGTGAACAACCTTGTTTTACTAACCGCGTTCCAGATCCCAAGTGCGCCAAGAATCCCACGAAAAACCTGAAATTGCCGAACAAGATCTCAATTATGCAAAAACTGGATGCAAACAGAACTAGTCCCAGGAAATGTTTCTAATGTTAAAACGTTCACAGTATTAACACTTATGTGATTATCAAGGAAAAATAAGGGTATGTTAATTGGGATAATAATATTTATTATTATTATCTTGAGGTTATCTTGAGATGATTTCGGGGCTTTTTTAGTGTCCTCGCGGCCCGGTCCTCGACCAGGCCTCCACCCCCAGGAATCAGCCCGTGACAGCTGACTAACACCCAGGTACCTATTTTACTGCTAGGTAACAGGGCCTTATTAATGAAAGTACTTATGCTATTGTTGTAATAATAATAATAATTCGTATTACAAAAAATATTCTCAACAATAATAATTGTAATAATATTACAAATAAGCAATACCAATAGACAGTAGTCCACTATATATTAGCTAAATAATTGAATTCAAGCCTATTATACCGCAAGCACCCACTCGCATGGAGAAATGCAACCCCTTCCATGAAAACAATCTTATCTTGCTTTCCCCAAAGAACGCGTGCAACTTTCTAAACTTATTTCGAGTGGTACAGAGCACGGAAGGAGAAGTGGGAGGGGGTGTGGGAGGGGAGAGGAGAGGAAGGGGGAAGAATATTTGCGCATGAAAATCCGTGAGGGAATGAGAGTTAAAGTAGAGAGGCTGGCCTAGTATCTCCCAGCTCTGTTGCAACAGTTGCTGTGTAAGGTCAGGGTATCTGCAAGCTCTGTTGGAACAGTTGCTGTGTAAGGTCAGGGTATCTGCAAGCTCTGTTGGAACAGTTGCTGTGTGAGGTCAGGGTATCTAACAGTTCTGTTTCAACAGTTGCTGTGTGAGGTCAGGGTATCTACCAGTTCTGTTGCAACAGTTGCTGTGTGAGGTCAGGGTATCTACCAGTTCTGTTGCAACAGTGGCTGTGTAAGGTCAGGGTATCTGCAAGCTCTGTTGGAACAGTTGCTGTGTGAGGTCAGGGTATCTACCATATCTGTTGCAACAGTTGCTGTGTGAGGTCACAGTATCTGCCTCTCCTGCTGTAGAAACTGCTGTGCTTCTCAGACTTCAATTTACATAACTAGAGACATAGAAACGAACAAGAACCTACAGCAAAATGAACAAGCATACATATTACAGTACAACGCTATAAAGGGACAAGTATATTGCCGCTTTTCGAGTCCCTGGTTTTCTCCTATTTCCTGCTGCTAAGGGGTCACCACCCATCTACTGAGGAACGAGGGGATGGTGAGGCAGTAATCCCCCCCCCACCCCACCTTCCTCACTATACTTTATTGACTGCGGGGTTTCAGGTATCCATGCCTTGGCTCAGCTGTACACGTGTCTGGACAGAGGAGTCCAGACGCTTTAAGATCAAGTGGATTCCAGGAATTATGTCTAACCTTAAACAATCTTATCTGTGTGACACACACACGCTCACACACACACACACACACACACACACACACACACACACACACACACACACACACACACACACACACACACACACACACACCGAACTGAAGGGTATGAGCTACGAGGAGAGACTACGGGAATTAAACCTCACGTTACTAGGAGACAGAAGAGTTAGGGGGGACATGATCACCACATACAAGATTCTCGGAGTTGATAGGGTAGATAAAGACAGGCTATTTAACACCAGGAGCACATGCACTAGGGGACACAAGTGGAAATTGAGTGCACAATTATAACATTTGCTTGTTTGAGCACACGTAGGTTTACATATATATGAAGTGGTTTATCCCTCTCTCAAAATACTCTGTCTGTCTCTCTCTCTCTCTCTCTCTCTCTCTCTCTCTCTCTCTCTCTCTCTCTCTCTCTCTCTCTCTCTCTCTCTCTCTCTCTCTCTCTCTCTCTGTCTAATTTCTTCACAATTTCCAATTATCTAAGGACCATTTCTCTTCGGTAACTGAAAACTGTGTCATGAATCATTCCATGATTAGTTGCCACCACATTTCTGTACCTCCCTTGGCAGCTCAAGTTGATATAGTCCACCGTAAAACTCCCTTGGTAAAGTGGCTGTGAAAAAGGACTAGAGGTGAGCAGAAACTTCG